CTAAGTGCTTGTTCACAATGGACATAAGCGTAACAAAAACATAACAGATACATAATTCATAATGTTGAATAGTAGCAAACCAACGTATGTGTTCACAATGATTACATAATTTTTATTTTGTTGTAAATGTTTGCGTATGTTTTATGTCCTACCGAAAGGGTACATAAAAAATACATAAAGTTGGGTCGGTTTCAACTTTACGTAGGTTTTATGAAAAATCTAGTGGAATTAGGGGTATTTCTGTTGGGTACAAAGATGCAGCACTGCGCTGTTGGTTTGACATTTCAGTTACTACGTCTAACGTCGATGACATCTCTTCTGCCAACACAATCTGGTTATTTTTAAATTGGTACATAGTTTTTGGCGCATTATTTCATAGTTTGGTGTGGTTTGGTCCTTCGTGTGTTATTCTTTGATTATAGGTATCCAACACGACATGGAAAACGTATAGACGTCGAATTATTAATTAGTTTGGTGCAATTAAAACCCTAATTGTTTAATAAAGGGGACAAAAGATATAAGGTTAATAGGTGATCGAATAATCCTGGTGTATGAAAAAAACCATTCTTCATCATGCAGCTTCATTTCTAGACACGCTTAAATGCTTAAATTCTCCCCTTTTCTCTCGGTCTCGATTTATAGGTCTGACCCACCAACGCCGTTTTTGTTTTGTAACAACTTTGTCTCTCTTCTCTGTCTTCTTAACAGTAAAAGCAATAAAACTGTTGAAATTTCCATCCATCTCAGTGACACACACATATACACCACAAATAATATAGCTATGTTCTTGACGTTTTGCAGAGTTTAAATTTTGGATTTGCGCCTACGCAGATAATTATAATCTTACGGTCACTGTGAACACTTTCTCCACCTGCGTAAAATTATGTCTTATGTCAATATTATGTTTTATGTATCGGTTATGTTTTTGTAACTCTTATATCCATTGTGAACAAGCACTAAGAAAGATTTTGCCAAAATCAATTATCTTTAATAATAAGAAAGTCATGGGGCATTAAGGAAATCGACTCAATTCGAGAAACGCCGTCTGGCGGCCAAACGATTAGTGATAGCTGAATTCTGTTTGCGCCAGTGATTTCTCTTTGAAATTGGGCTACAGACTCCTAGGTCCATTTTTTCCTATCTGTTAAAATAAAGGGTGTTTCCATACCAAAGTGTCCAATTTGGACCACCCTGTACATGGTAGTCGCATTATAGGCCAACATTCGGTCGCTCTATTATTTATGAGTGTATGGTTTGCGGGTACGGCACTGGCCGATTAACTGCGTGAGCAAATTAGTAACGCCCGTCTGACGGGGGATAAGGCAGAATTTAAGGGTTATATGTGTCACAAATTTAAAGTACGTTGGTTGGTGGCAAAGTTTTTATAATTGTGGATAACACTTCTTTACAAAAATTGTAGTTTTGAAGATAGCTGTATAATAATGATTTAAAAAAATGACTGAAAAGTACAGTGGCGACAATAGGAGCCCATTCGCCATGTTGCATCGAAAAATGCAATATATTACAATATATTTACTCGACGCAACTTGGCCGCGGATCTCAATACCCAATCAAAAATAAGACACTCTATTGTCGCCACTGTCTCTATAAGTACACTGTACACATAGATATATTAATACCACTGTACACTAAAGATAGAGTGATTACTGTGCGTGACCTCTGTTGACAGAAAAAGAAACTACGAAATGAAATCAATGGCAACGATCTCTCTTACACGAACTTACAGAAATGGCTATTTTCGAGATATTGCCATCAACTTCTTTAATTTAAATGGACGCCATATTGGATTTTTACGTCACTAGATAGACAAAACAATTACAAAACCAGTGATACTAAACACATAGTAATTCATTTGGAACTCAACCTTGCATTTTTGCCTCGAAGTTTACAATGTATTTCTTATGGCAATAATTCCATGGCTGATTGTGATTGATTGAGTGTTCGTTTATTGTCTCGCAGTCACCATCGACATTGCCCAGGAATTATTGCCATAAGAAATACATTGTAAACTTCGAGTGACGTTAAATCCAATTTAAGCAGTCCATTTAAAATAAGGAACATAATGTCAATATCTCGAAAACCGCCATTTTGAAAAATTTTTGTTTACACCCATTGAATTTATCCCATCGAATTTTACAACTTTTATTTGAAACTTTTTTCGGTAGTTCTATTTGTTATTAAAATATTTGAAGTTTTTACAAAATTCAATTTAAGACACGCTGTATATACTACAGCTGACTCGTCCGCCATTTTGGAATTTAAAGGCGCGTATACATCTGAGCATTGGGTCGAATGAGCAAGGCGAGCGCGAATGAGCATTTGGAAAGGGGGCTGAGTACACATCTGAATGGGACACGCGAGCGAGACACATGAGCTTCGCTCAATGAATGCTCGTAGTGCGCGTTTCAATATGTATGTCCTTTCCGTTCCCTGTCGATGTCCACACTGAGCACGTATGAGCGTGTTCGCCGCAAGCGCTCGCTTTGATCTACCGACAAAATTTGGATCGGGTCGAGCGTGCTCGGCGCACGTTGCTCAGTCGTCCACATTTGAATGCTCATTCGCGCTCGCCTTGCTCATTCGGACCCAATGCTCAGATGTATACGCGCCTTAAGATAAGACAAATCTTAAACAGTTTTTTGTGCACATAAGATTTGGACTGCCAGTGGGCTATAAAATGACCTTAATCAAGTACTGTACTTTTATTGGTGTTCTGCAACTCATCAAGAAACCTACTTTACCGACATTGAATTTTTTTAGCCAAACTGTAAACCACAAGATGTGACTGTGATTCTTCCTCTTTCAGAATTCATTACCTACCTTCTCCAGCACATCGGCACCTATGTGGATCCGACAGTGCTCGTGAACAAAATAAAAAGCGGCGAACAGATCCCCGGCCTCAAAAATTCGCTCGTGAAAATGTTGCGCGACTACAACCTGCAGGTTTCCGTGCAGGAAGGCTGCAAAAAAATCCTCGTGTCCGACTACTTCAACTTGCACAACAAATTGGTCCGTAGTCAGCAGAGGGGCGTAGGCGTGATCGACGAGATGGTGTGCAGCGCCTGTCATCGTTCCGTTATCACGCGAGGTAAGTGCTGATGAAACCCGGCCTTCGTAATCTACTCGCTGTTTGCAGACGTGCTGAGGCTAAATAATATCGTCGTCTACAACTGCAAGCATTGCTTTCACGAGCAGTGCGTCGGCAACCAAACGTCAAACTGCGGCATCTGCCACCCGACTAAGAACACGTAGCGTCAGGTGAGTGGTTTAATCGTCGTTACATTGACAGAAGCGTTTAAAGTGCGCGATTGTGAAGTCGAGAATGTCTTCCGGTTTCATAAAGATCGTCTGCTGGATGTAGTCGGCCATCATGCTTTTTAATTCGGGATGGTCGGCCAAGTACGTCTTGATGTCCATCGTGTATTCCGTTTTGCAATCGAGAAATTTCGACATTAACTGCATGTCCTTCTCCCAAACGTGCTGCAGGAGAAGGTGCTCGTTTCCGATGGGCTTTTCATTGTGAATGTACGCCAAGGGGTTGACCTGTAGGATGTAATTGCAGCTGGCCCATTCTTGTTTAACAATTTGACCTGAAATTAACCGGTAGTTTTGGGTGAAGCTTGCGATTGACTTACCGTGCAGTGTCAAAATGGTTGTACTGTAGTGTACAATTCCGCATTGTTCGATAATTGTTCGTTGAATTTTGCACAAGTCTAATTTTTGGTCATTGACAATTCCCTTTTCCACGCCACTGCATTTCTAAAAGCAGCATTTGTTTCCGAATTTATTAACTACATTTTGTAAGTGGCACTTTTGATTTTTGGCAGTAAAATCGCTACATAAGTAAGAAAGTTACTACTGCGCACGCGCGTATTCAAATGCGCTGCGCAATTTGTTATTTATTACCTCGTTTATTATATTTTGTTGGAAGTTTTAACCACACCTACTTCTATAGAGCATTCGCACCTTAGTATGCAGTATGGGGTCTTATGGACTATATCCCTCCTTTACTAATTTGCGTCATTCTTCAATAACGCTATCCTTATTCCTTACCGCAATGATGCCAAACTTACATATGATTGAATTTAAGCTTTAAAACAAAATATAACGTCAAATCTTCTTGTATTGTCATTACGTGTGTGGTTCGTTTTTGTCTTTCGTATTTAACACATTTTATTGTCTCATTGCTTTAAAAATCGTTCTTTTAAGAACGCCTCCATCTCGTACTTTATATACAAGGTAACTTTGAGTGTTCTTGTAGAACCGTTATTTGATTTCATCTTTTTAGAATATCCCATTAAATGGAAGGAAGCCGAAGCTGAAGCAGGATCTGCTAACGTGAAACGCCATAAAGGAGAGTGTTTTAGCCGGAAGGAGAAACACCTCATTATCAACGTGCTGAACTATTTCTCGGGAACGATGAACGTTACTGCAGCTGTGAAAGAAGCAAGTAAAGCTTTATGTTGTTCTGAACGGAGCATCTATGCCATTAAAAAGGAAGACGGAAACGAAGGTGTATCAAGCCCGAAAAAACGCAAGCAAAGAAAAGGGAAACAAAGCAATGATCGTCTTCATGTGTATGATGAAAATGTGCAATCAGTTATTCGACGTAAAGTGCATAACTTCTTCATTACAAATATTCCACCAACTATGAACAGCATCTTAGCTTCCGTAAATGACGATAACGATCTACCCAACTTTAAACGCACCACATTATTCAATCTCTTGAAAGATATGGGTTTTGAATTTAAGAAGGTTGGCCGCAAGAGTATCCTTATTGAACGGGATGATATTATACGATGGAGACATAAATACCTACGTCGCATCAGGAAGTTGAGAGAAGAAGGTGCTTAATCTTTTTATTATATTTAATTGCAAATTACATAATATTTATATTTTAGGTAAAAATATTGTGTATACGGATGAGTCATGGGTTAACATTGGTCATTCGGTGAGCAGGGCGTGGCATGACACCACCGTTGAAAGCAATCGTCAGGCATTCATCAAAGGACTCAGTACAGGTTTAAAATCACCCACTGGTCTAGGGCCTCGCTTTGCGTTAGTACATGCTGGTGGTGATAATGGTTTTATTCCGGGCGCGGAACTGACTTTTCTCTGCAAAAAGAACACTGCTGATGCACACAACGAAATGGATGCAGACACTTATGAAAAGTGGTTTTTTGAACAGCTTCTACCAAATGTGCCACCGAATTCAGTCATTGTTATTGACAATGCCTCGTACCACAGTAGAAAGTTGGAGAAGATACCAACAATGTCGTGGAGAAAAGAACACATTATAGATTGGCTTCGTGAGAAAAATGTACCGATTGAAGAAAATCCATTAAAACGAGACCTACTGGCTTCTGTTGCGCATGTTCGGCATCACTACGACAAAAATAAGCTTGATGTTATTGCACAAGAAAAAGGTTACGAGATTCTCCGTTTACCTCCATACCATTGTGAATTAAATCCCATTGAAATGGTGTGGGCTCAAGTTAAACATCATATCAAAATGAATAACAAAACATTTAAAATAAAGGACATGGAAGAATTAATAAAAATGGGTTATTCACAAGTTACGGTTCAAAATTGGCAACATTATGTCAATCACGTGAAAACTATCGAAGATGGCATGTGGGCAGCAGATTATCTTCAAGATGATGTTGAAGAATTTATAATTCAAGTGTCGCAGTCATCTTCCGATGAATTTCAATTCGATTCCAGTGACTAATATGTATACTGTACATTTGTAAATTTTTGGGGACTTAATAAATACAAGCTGTTCTCGGCCACATTTGACAAACAATTACAACTTGTTATTAATTTACCTTTTTGACTTCTGAGGTTAGGTTAAAAAGTAATAAATAGTGTCTAAACTACCGTTTTACGGTGCAGTAATCGATCCTATAATAAGTTTGGCAAGCATGTACTGTTTCTCCATAAGCCCCATACTGCATACTAAGGTGCGAATGGTCTATAGTAAAGGTAGACATATTGCATATTGTAAAAATCAGATGTGCGCATGCGCAGATTGCCCAATACCAACATTCATATTTATGGAGTCACTTCTATTAAGGTGGCGTTTACATTGAAGAATTTGGAAATCACTCCCTGCATCTCCCCCCAATATTAGAATAGTGTCGCTATCAACCGCAAGATTCCGCTACCTAGCATATTCTAACGTGATAAGTATGATCTTTGTAACGTGTAAAAATAAACAGATAAGGCGCAGCTGTCGAGATAATAATATAAGGAGGACCACCGTTGTAATTTGATATCTGTAATTTGTAGAACTGAGTTTTTATCATTCGTATTCAGCTTTCTCGCTTGTTTATGTTTACGTTTGCCATTGAATAGCTATAAATTCAATGCATTTATCGCGAATAATTTCGTTATAATTGGGAATATACCAGATCACGATCAGAGGTCGAGGAGTTGGGATAATGGTTGGTAGAAATTAATTCCTTTAGTTGAGACCTTTCATTAGAGTACCATGAAGGATAAAACTAGTTCCACTCAAACCCCCTCCCCCTCCACCCCGTACTTTGATAAGAGGGCAGTTTTTAATCCTTCTTGGAACTTGGAAGTAGTCAGAATAATGTTTATTTTGTGCTTGTTTCATTGCACAGCCCTGACACGAAATATTATTATTGATCGATTAATACGAGTATAAGTGCCCTTTCGTATATATTTTTATAAAACATGACAGTACTATGCAAAGTTAGGTTATAAAAAAATTACAGAAATTTAGATTTTGTTTCAATTTTTTTAAGTTGGCAGCAAATTTGCCCAAAAAATTCCGGTACTTTCTATATCTAGTGACTTTAGCCTTCTAATGACGTAAGCGACCTCCCTTTTGTATAGAACATTTTTTATAATAAGGTCGATATTTACCTAGAGATAAATACAAACAACAAACGAGCACAAACGAAGCACAAACGATTCCAGTAGTTTTTTTGACAATATTAAGATTGGGCGGGGGTCGCATTTCGTTGGCCCCGCCCACCGTTTCTCTGGGAAAACAAATAGCACAAACGATAATAATTCCAGCACAAACGATTCCAGTACTTTGTTTTACAATAGTAAGGTTGGGTGGGTGTAGCATTTCCTTGGCCCCGCCCACCGTTTCTCCGGGAAAGCGAGTAGCACAAACGAAAATATTTGAACTTTTTAAAAATGGCGATTTTCACTTTTTTTCAATTATCTACGAAACGATTTATTTTTTTAAAATATCGCAACTGAAAATCCATCAGCATCAAAAACAACTTTGTCAATTTAACGGAATCTGTGAGTATAATAATATTAAAGATAGCCATGTTATCTTATTCAATTTAAGACACCCTGTATACATCTTACAGTATGGCCGCGGCATAGCAAAAAGGGCGACGCGTTAAAAAAGGTAGATACCTAGATGCACTGCAAAAGTTAATTTAGCGTAAAAGTAAACCATACGCAGTTTCAGTATTTGCCTACAGACGTCTCTGAAAGCAGTCTATTTATTCTTTTTCTTTTGCTACGTACGCGGTACAGAACAGGATGCCGGTGACGTATGCGACACGAAAGTTACATTGTAAACATAGCGACACTCTTTTTATTTCATTGTTACTGGACCCATAATGTTAGATTACAGGTTGTATTGAAAGTTGTTAGAGGACTGTAATTTAATGGTCAAAAGTAATTCCTGGGCATTTATGTTTATGTGCTTACGACTACCACTTTTTATAAATAATTAAATCGTACCCCCACAATATACACGGTGTCAATTTTTCGAGTGCCACTATAGAGATCTCACTTATCTTAAGAGATAGAAAGTTGGTTAAATAGGGGCGAAGTTGCCAATTTTCGTGCTGAATAAGAATCTGAAAAGAAATTTGAAATATCTTCAATAGTTTTGAACATAGACATTTCTAGTTAACACATTCGGACACTTTTTAATGGAGATTTCAAATATGGCATCCTGTTTTTAATTACTTTCAAGATGACGTAGAAACACGTGGCAACTTTAGTTTTTCTTATGGGCGCCATTTTGAATTTTGACATTTTGGGATTACGCCTTTTTTTGTCTTTACAGCGATATATCACACATGGTGGTTCAGTATCACATTTGTCCTAAAAATACAATTTTTAATTTTTTGAGAAGAGTGCTTTGGAAAAACAAAACGTTTTTTTGTTGTAAACAAAAGTTTGACAGTATGATCCATCTGTCTGGTTACAGCGTTGTCAGAGAAGTAGAAATTCGATTTTCATCTGAACAGAATTGAACCTTCGTTTTGCAAGAAAATTAAAATTAGAACATATCGTTGTAAAGAGAACAAGTTAAAAAGTAATCGTAAACGATTTACATAAAGCGCATTTCCACTTGCATTCATTTCCCATTTGTAAGATGCAACTTCTATAAAATCATAAAAATCCGGCCACAAATATGAAAGATAGCGTTGCACATGGGCAATCCATTTTTGTCGTGCTACTTCAATGTCAGTTTATGAGAAGAATTTCATTTAAATGCTTTTCTAAATAAGAAAGTTGGAACTCCGCATGCGCCAACCTTAATTTTGAAACTAATGTTAGATTTTCCTTTGTTCCAAGCGCCTAAATATCAAATTTCACTTAAATGCTTCCATAGATAAAAAAGTTGGCACTGCGCATGCGCAAAATAAAATTTTGAAATTGGCGTTTGATTTTCCTTTATCCCAAGTGCCTATGTATCAAATTTCGTTTAAATTCTTCCATAAATAAAAAAAGTTGGCACTGCGCATGCGCAAAACCAATTTTTGAAATTGGCGTTTGATTTTCCTTTATCCCAAGTGCCTATGTATCAAATTTCGTTTAAATTCTTCCATAAACAAAAAAGTTGGCACTGCGCATGCGCAAAACCAAATTTTGAAATTGGCGTTTGATTTTCCTTTATTCCAAGTGCCTATGTATCAAATTTCATTAAAATGCTTTTATAAGTAAAAAAATTTGCAATTCGGTTTATAAATGGTCGAGATGCGAAAAGGGCACTGTGAATTTTGAATCGATTCGATTCAACTTTTGGCGTTGCGTATTATAAATGGCTAAAGCTATGCCCATATTTAATTTCATGCAATTCAGTTCATAACTAACGGAGATGTAAAAGTGATCGAACATTTCTAAACAAAGTTATCGTTCACACGGACAGATAGATGGACAGACAGACAATGGAACAGACGGACAGACCAACCGACAGGCGACAGATAGCAATGCAAAATTATAAACGATCTCTAGGATCGTTAATAAACGGCAAAAGTGTAAAATTATGGAACATGTAAAAACGGTTTTTTGTTTTTTTTTACAATAACTTTTTTTGTAAGCGGTACAGAAAAAATTCCTTCCTTGGTACAAGACTCGACACCATAACGAACCAAATAGCGAAAAAAGTAGAACAATAGCTCGTAAGATAAAGAACTAGTAGCGCCGCAAAACGAGCGGACGGACAACCGGACGGACGGACGGACGGACGGACAAAGTGGCCACAATAGCGCATTTTTTTTTATTTTTGTGGAAATGCGCTAAAAAAAGACGTAATCCCAAAATGTCAAAATTCAATATGCCGCCCATAAGACAAGCTAAAGTTGCCACAATGAATAAAGAATACCAGGAAGGAGCATTACTCAGGTTGTATACAAGAGAGACTGGGACGGAAGTCGGCCATTTGAAAAGCCACTTATGACTAATTTTTGTTGTGGTTTTTGCAGACATAAAATAATGGTTAGTTGTTGTGCGTGTGGTTGCTCCAAAACGGAAAAAAATAGAAGTTTGGGAATTACATTTCATGTGTAAGTATTGATACCAATATTATTTTTATATAGTACATGTAAATTTACAAATTTTTTATCGGAATGTAGTTTGAGGTTAGTTAAACAAAAGTCATAGGCCGAGTAGACACATAGGGGTTTAGATTGTTTTCGTGTAAAATTCTTTATAATTGTATCCTTCTACAACTGTAAGGTAGGTACGCCACTGGAACAGGAAACTACTGTCCGCCGTTTGCAAAAGCCATCGCGATCTCACGTAAATTGTTGATATTCTCTTTCCTGGTATTCTTTATTCATTGAGTTGCCTAATTAAAAACAGGATGCCATATTTAAAATCTCCATTAAAAAGTGTCCGAATAATGTGATAATTAGAAATGTCGACTACGATTAGTTTATCATACAAAAATTAAAAACGAAAATCAAAAATTTTCGTTTTTTTGCGATATCTTCAAAACTATTGAAGATATTTCAAATTTATTTTCAGATTCTTATTCAGCACGGAAATTTGCAACTTTGCCCTCATTTAACCAACTTTCTAGATATGTGAGATCCCCGTGGTGGCATTCGAAAAATGGACACCGTGTATAGTGAAACAAAAACGTAACCCGAAGTATTTGAAGAATCCAAATATCTTTTACAAAAAAAATCATATTTGAAAACAGATAGGTACATATACTGGGTGACCCAATAAGACTGTTTCTCGGCCATATCTCGAGAACCGTTCGTCGTATGACTTAGGAGTAACAAAAATTATTGGGTAAATCGGTCATGAAGAATCGCTGGAAAATATTTTCAAGTTCTAAAAATGGCTACCAGAGGGCGTAACTGCCATCTTAAATTTTAAAATTATTTATTCTCACAGTTTGTGCCTCTTTGGTTTCGGAGATATTTGGAAAAATCAAATGAGGGCTAAGCATTCCCCTCAAAAATTAAACTTTTTTATACCCAAAGTTACACAATTTCGTGTACAACCATTTTCTTCACTGAACACAAGTAATTGTTAAATTTTCCCCTTCCCGTGAGAATTTCTGAGTGTTTTACTACAACAGAAACCTTCGCGGTCATACGGAATTTATACATTTGGTCGTCCATTTTTTCGCCGCAAGTCGACGGTAGGTAGAGCCGTAGTAGATCCAGTAGATCTCGCTTTGGCGCCATCAATTGGTTGTATTCGGATTTGAAATGGTGAAAAAAAAATTGTTTTACGTCTTTTCGTACAATTTTTCGGAAATTATCGTATATACAAACCTTGTCCTGATAATAACAAACACAACAAAAAAGGAATTATTTAATTTGGTGCAGCCGTTCTGAAGTTATTGGTATAGATCATATTTTTCAAAATTTTGAAATGACATGTTTCTACCATTAGCCATTTGTTAATTTTCGACCGCCTTAGTTACCATGGATACAACAAACAAAACAAAAGCTCCATGAATCCACGGCCTACTATTTAAAAACATTAAAAAATAAGGTTTTTATTGATTTTCATTGCTAAAATTACAAAGATATATAGGTTGTGATACATCAATGTACTTAATCAGGAATTATAATGCAAAAAATGACGTTAAGATATACAGGGTGTTGCTTTTAAAAAAATACCAACTTTGAGTTAAATCAGAAACGGTGGTACAAACATTTTTTGGTTACGCCAGGGTCGCGAAAACCGCAAGTGTCTATCTTTAAAAACAGCTGAGATACACTGCAGTCTCAACCAAAGTAGGACACACGGTATTTGAGATAGTGAAAATTTAAACAAAATCCCGGGTCCTATGAAACTCGCGCGAACCTAACGCAACTCCCCCCCCCCACTTTACTCTTCCCTGCGTCGGTTTTTCTCCCCGGCGCGTTGGAAACGTCTAGCCGTCCTGCGCACCGCAGCCTACCAGCCGTGCCAAAACGGCGTTTTCCTCTTTTCCTTATGAAAGATCCTTTTAACTCTCGGAAAGCGCATTTTTATTCGAAGTGTAAGATTCGGACTTTAACCTCACACGTGGTGAGTTCGAATCCCACAACTTGCCAGTCTTTAGTGCTACAGAAAAGCGTGCATTTTTTACTCATATCCCAAAAAAGTGGCTATGAGCACTAAAGGGGTCATACAACAGAACCAACCAGAGCAGAGGTAATATGTTTTATGTATTGAGCAAAAGTGCCACTTACCGTTACCTTGCTGTAATCAGTGCATACTTACATAGAGGTTGCGACATATATCGCCGTTTATATACAGCGTTGTAAGTTCAAATTGTCCCACGTACCGAGTTATCGCCAGATATCGCATTAAAAGAAAATTAGACCCTTCGCATACCATCTTGGATACGTCCTCCATTTTGTAGTACTTTTTATCCTCCAGCTGCGTAGTCGTGTGCGCGTGCTTTACATAGTAACGCCGTGGCTGGATCCCCACGTAAAGCATTTTCTCATTCACCTCGCCATCAATTATTATAAATCTACGACAAATGCGTCTCATATATAAGTTGTTTCTACAGGGTGTATCCTAGGTGATTTCTGAGCAAAAATTGCCCGAAACGGAACCAACGGAAAATTGACGACTCGCGTCTGTTTTAAAATTAGACCACCCATACGCAGCCCAAAAAAAAAGAGATGACATTGAATTATATCATGAAATACTGGCTATAGCACTTTTAAGGTAGTGAATATCTTCAGTTACGTCTGTATTTTGGACCTTACGCATTATGTTATTTTTGCTTCAAAGGAAATACTAACTCTTGTCGTTTTTCTTCCAGAGTATGAAAATTCCTATCCACCCACGCAGTTATACGGGAGCCGGCCTGGTGTCCGTCGACGTCAAACTCCGAAGAAAGATGTACCAGAAATTTACAATTTGTTCTTTCGTAACGCGGCTTGAGATTAATAATAAATTTGTCTAGTTCGTGGTCGGATAACGACTTTTTACCTGAGTACGACATAAGTTCTATTTATTCGTTAATTGTAAGCAAATGTAATTTACCGATCCTTTTGTCAGCTACCAAATTCGTAATCAGCTCAACGACACTTTGGCTTAGGCCGGACTGTTGGCGTAGAGGAGGATTTTTACCTTTCGCCGATTGCACGTCGAGACATAATCCGCCGACGACGGTCGGTAGTTGAGAGGTGGGGCAGGAGGTGAACGAACCAACGACTAGTGTCTCGCGAAATGTCAGTTTGTTGTATAAATCGTCGTCTGAAATGTAAATGTTTTTGTAAGGCATTATTTTGTTACATATTTATCTCAACAAATATATTTATTATACCTATCTCGAAGTTGGGGATGAGCTCCTTTAAGTTGAAAAGCGGGTACTGATTGTGCTCTCTAAGTTTTGCGTTGTACGCCTCAAGGTATTCGGCTCTACTTGCAATCTTCTCGATTAACTGTTCGATCATGTGACGAACATTGTGTAAGTATTCTTGATCGTTGTCGGCGAGGCCATCGTCTTCGGCGCAGAGATAGTCCTGTTGTTCCAAGTATTTTAAAATGTCTTCCGTTAAACTTCGCGGAAATTCCTCAGTTTCGAATTCCATTTTTTGACAACCGAAATACAAAGCGCCATCTACTCACGACAACATCGTACTTGCAACAAAAGCTAAACGTGACTCTTGAATGTCGGCGCCATTTTCAAAATGTTTCTCAATTAATATTCGTTTTTGTAATGGATAAATTTTCATGTCACGGCTAAGACACCATGAAACTAGCTTCCCCCGCCCCAGATTCGAAACTAACTGTACAGTTTTTAAAACAAGGTGTCAACACCCGGACCAACGGCACGGCGCCCTATCCGTCCTCTATATCACAACGGTTGAGTATATAAAAAAAGTTTTGATCACTCTTTTTGCCCGAAAGCGTTCGTTTATTAGTACACCAGAAAAAGTTTTAACACCGTCATTCTTTTTTTATTACAAAAGAGAGTAAAAAGACTTCACACTCCATCTCGGAGAGTGCAGACGGACCGCAATACCTAGACGTGATCACGTGTTTATTTTATCCTGAAAATTGGCATTTGTGTCATATTTATTATCTGAATCACTTATGAAAAATATCCGATTTACACCCTGTAGTGTTGATAACCCCCAGGTTCTACGCTAACTTCACACTACAAGAACACGGAAATAAAGGCAACCCGGCAACGTTTAAAAATGGACACCCGAATGACTATTCCCTCCAAAACTACACAAGATCCAGCATAAATTGAAAAAGTGGCAAGTGATAAAATATCTAAGGCAGGGCCCCCTTACGTTAGTTGTAAATAACGTTTTGACCTGAAGCACAGTAGGGAAGGAACGTAAAATAAAACACTCAAATTGTGAAAAGTTTGTTTAATAATGACCGCAATTATTAAGATTGTGAAAGCTCGGAAATTTAAGTCGAAATAATAGACATTGCAAAAATAAACTTTGAAAATGGTGGTTCACCGAATAAAAATACAATTAGGCTGGGAAAAAAAGAACTTGCCAATAAAAAAAACCAGCCGTCAAATTAATATCCAATTGTGTTGTAAAATTAATTGTTTGTAATGATGTGAATGCCTAACATAAAATTATAACATCACAAATAGTAGCAGGTAAACTTCAAGAGGTATAACATTTAGGTTAAAAACAAGTTTTGGGAATTATGATTCAGGTAAGCAGGTACCAAGATTCTAAGAAAGAGTGAAATACACCGGATGTGACTCATCTTTGGTGCAATAAAGTCCTTTTGTTAAAAGCAAGATGGAAAATTACATGGCCTTGTAGGTAACTAAAAACAAGATATGTGGAAATTATTGAATCGCCACTCATTTATCGCACATAGATTCTAAACTGAAGAGCTTTGATTAGCGTAATCCCGCTCCGACAAGATAGGTAACTCGCCCCTGGTTTCGGGGTTTCGAGCCTACAGTTGAATGTCGAAGACAATCGCGGAATTAGGTGTCGTAGCTCAATTTTGACTACAGTTTTTACCACCCCCGTGACTGCTTCATTCCGGGAGAAAATGTTAGTTACAAACAACAAGTCAGTACATACATCAAACGAATCGGTAATTTCCACATATTAAAATAAAATGATCAAAGCTAATATGAATGTTACTTCTGGGACAAGACCAAGTAATCAACATCAATAAACATAAATTAACCAAGCATTACACCAAAAACGTAAACAATTACAAACAATAGCATAACGGTATCACATATGTGATTTTACATTACATTTCAAAAACAAAGATTCAAACACACAAAAAATATAAAATGTGGCATACAAAACACAAATACAATATAAAGATAAATGCAGAGATTACTACCTGCATTAAAAAAACACAAAATAACAACAAACATTTATGGAGCGACGCGTACACGACCGCCATTCAAAACAAGATGCGAAACGTAACCCCCGTTCGTGCTGTCTAGATGGCGCAGGCAGCTTTTTCCCACCTAGAAATTGCATGGTAACCAACTCTCAAAAATGTATGTATCACCGTAAGTTGTATATACAGGGTGGAACCTCTCAACCCTCATGCAGGTTTACACCCAAAAGCATTAGGTACACCCTTTTGTGGTAAACTGTACAAAATTTACAGGTTATGTTGACGCTGTATTCGCTTATTGTACAGTTATTAATTTCCTATAGTGATCACGTGACCTTTTCCCCCCACGCTCTGAATACTCCTGAAACAGACAATCGAACGCACAAGAAGTACTTTCAAACATATTAAATGTGATCCGTGCAGTTATGCAACCCACAATAAGGATTATTTAAGGAATATAGTTGCGCATAAGTCCTCCACAATCTTTAATTGAGAACAGTGCAATTAGCCTATACGCTTTGAATAACCTTCTATCATCGATGAATTTATAAATATGTACATTCAATGCTTTCTATCACTGCTATCAGTGTACTTAAACTTAGTGACTGGGCTGATTAATCGACAATGCTGTGCAGCATAGTGAAAGAATAAGAGTAAAAAGTACAGTGCCACCATGCTCAAAAAAGCCCCGGAATATATGCGAACTAATTTTGAAATAATTCAGGCTGGCCAATAGAACGATACATTCCGCACCATAATTATTAATTATTCCGTTTTGACAGTTGACGCTTCACGTTATTTTAGTTTACACTTTGCTTCTTGTATTTGCTTTATTTTACGTTTTCCGTCTCCAGTTTTATACACACTCTTCTTTTTCAAGGCGCATATAGCTGGGATCTACGATCTGATAAGGTATGTAATTCCCTTAAAGTGTCTTTAAATTTTGCCTCAGAATGTACGGTTTAAATTTCTAGCGCCCTCGGACACGCCCTGTCAGGGACTTTCTGAGCGTGGTGCCACTGTATATGTCAATTGGTTATTTCGCTTGTCGTATTTTTTTAATACCTACTTTTGACCCTTACTGGTACTTGAGCCACAGCCACAGATTTCTCTTAAGTCCTTACTTATGTAAGTCCGACGCACAGAATTAGACTGTGGGTCCGACGAATACGTACGTGGATGGTCTTTTTTGAATAACAAACTGCTTTGTTTATAATTCTAAACAATGCTGCTTGTAAAAAAAACGGTAATGTAGAAATTTACCTTGTTTAATTAATTTAATACGCAACTTTATTTTGATACACAAAAACGTAAGTACAACACAAATGAATAAAGAATACCAGGAGCATTACCTAAGGGCATCGATTCCCGAAGTTAGTCGATATGTGATGTGCATGTGATGTGACCGGCTGCCATGACGTCATGATCGTATACGATAGGGATAAGTTCAAGTTTAGCTGCATTCCCGAATCGTGGACAAACTTTATGCGCTAACCAATCACAGACAAGAATTGAACTGTCATTTGTCAGTTTTGTATTTAGTTTTGTTTTTGCATTATGGATACTGCTATTAATAACCAGAAAATCCTCGAACAATTCCATGTTTTATTTCACAGAAAATATGTGAATTTATAGGTTAGGGCACTGAATAACCTCTATAGCAAAACAGCTGCAAGATCCGTCCCGTAGCTGCAACTGCGCATGACTTTCACGCAACGAGTGGTCTAGACCAGTCGTTGCGTTCGATTAACTTTTCGCTCGATGTGGTAGGTTCGAGAATGCAGTGACATTCACGTTCACATAAAGGTCAGTCGATGTGAACAAAGCACATCTTCGGGAATGTTGTATACAAGAGAGAGTGCGACGGAAGTCGGCCATTTGCAAAGGCCACTTATGACTAATTTTTGTTGTGGTTTTTGCAGTGACATAAAATAATGGTTAGTTGTTGTGCTTGTGGTTGCTCCAAAACAGAAAAAATAAAACTTTGGGAATTACATTTCATGTGTAAGTATTAATACCAATATTATTTTTATATAGTACATGTAAATTTATAAATTTTTTATCGGAATGTAGTTTGAGGTTAGTTAAACAAAAATCATAGGCGGAGTAGACACATGGGGGTTTAGATTGTTTTCGTGTAAAATTCTTTATATTTGTATCCTTCCACAACTGTAAGGTAGGTACGCCACTGGAACAGGAAACTACTGTCCGCCATTTGCAAAAGCCATCGCGGTCGCACGTATATTGTTGATATTCTCTGGTATTCTTTATTCATTGGCTATTCCAGTCTGCCCCTGTCTTTCCTTGTTAGATCAGTGGTAGCACCGAGAGGTATACAAGCATGGACGGAAATGATATACAATTTATTAAAATTGAACCAAAACAAGAAGAAGAAATCCATTCCGATTATGAAGGAAACTTTTTAGTAAGCAACGAAGCATTGGTTACAATAAAAGACGAAATTACCATTACTGCACAGTGCTCCAAATCGCTCGATAATGAAGATGTACAACAACAAACTGATTGTGGATTGAATCTTAAAATTCACATTTCCGACGATTCTGAACAGAACAAACAGCTGCACCAAGATAAAACACACGAACAAAGTGTGCTACAATGTGCTAATTGTGAATACATGACAAATAACAAAGAATACTTTAAACGACACCTTTTAAAACATGGTTTTAAATGTGCTACTTGTGATTTTGTGACAAATTATAAAAGCAACCTCAAACGACATCTTTTAAAACATGGAGGTTCTAAAGATTTTGAATGTGCTCATTGTGATTACAAGACAATTAACAAAGACCACTTTAAACAACATCTTTTAAATCATACCCATTCTAAAGTTTTTAAATGTGCTAATTGTGATTACCAGACAATTAACAAATACCACTTTAAACGGCACCTTTTAAATCATACCCATTCTAAAGTTTTGAAATGTACTAATTGTGATTATGGAACAAATTATAAAAGCAATTTCAAACGACATCTTTTAAAACATACCCATTCTAAAGTTTTTAAATGTGCTAATTGTGATTACCAGACAATTAACAAATACCACTTTAAACGACACGTTTTAAATCATACCCATTCTAAATTTTTGAAATGTGCTAATTGTGATTACGAGACAAATAACAAGTACTACTTTAAACAGCACCTTTTAAATCATACCGATTCTAAATGTTTTAAATGTGCTGATTGTGATTATGGAACAAATAATAAAGAAGGTCTAAAGAGACACATTTTAACACACAAACTTTCTAGTAATGCAAGTCTGCTAAAATGTGCTGCTTGTAGTTACGAGACAAATAACAAGTACTACTTTAAACGACATCTTTTAAACCATACCGATTCTAAAGATTTTAAATGTGCCCATTGTGATTACAAGACAAATAACAAATACCACTTTAAACGGCACCTTTTAAATCATACCGTTTCTAAAGG